CCCTACGGAAGCAGTAGGAGGGACTAATTTTAAGACAACCCTCCAATAATTAGATTTTATCCATGGAACAAGTCTAATGGCTTGATTTCGGAACTTTGCAGCACCTAAGATTAGATCAGTATGATCTTTACACAAACCACATTTTTAAAAGACAGTTTCCCAATCACAACTTCTGTTGAATTATTGGACAGTTCCAGGAGCATAGCCCTGAATACTCTTACTTCCTTCACCAGTCATCTATTTTCCCTAGCCCTTCATACCAGGCATTGGCCTCCTCAGCCCAATGAGCCCTGGCCTGCTAGATGCGAAAGGAATGCTTCATTGTTGTAAAACTTTTTCAAATGTTTTATCCTGCTCACAGTTGCTCTTTATTATTTGTCAGTAAGTGCCAGACAGTGACATTGTAATCCCATCTCTCAAAATGGAAGAATTTTCACCCTGCTGCTTTAGTATTATGCATGTGCTTCTGAATCATTGAATATAGAACTAAATATACAAAGCTGTTACAAACCAAATGTAAACTGTAGTTTTGTAGTCTTACTATGAGAATTGAAATTTCAACAGCAAATGCCCTGGTTTTGAAGAAAGTGCAGCTGTTCGGATGGTATGTGGGACTAGTTGTGCAACAAAAACATGTAAGCATGTGCAACAAAAGCATTCAGTCCTTTGCTATTGCCAAGTGATGCATCTTATTTAGTGTTGTGCATGGAACAGTAAGCATTTCAAAAGGTGTTTTCTCAAATTCTGTTCCAGTGTGAAGCTAGCTGTGCAAGGAATGAAGTTTGCTTCCTTGTTAAGGTCACAGAGCACATGCTCAGGTGAAAGAGACATTCCCATAGCTGGAATGTTGAAAAGTTAAGCAACCTATTACAAAACCTGACTTCAGAAATTCTTTGCATATGCTAAAACACCCTTTTTTGGAAACCTGTCAAACCAAGTTAACACACAAGTAAAGATCTGTAAGAAATCTGCCAGCTCTAAGAATAAGGTGATATCTGAAGGAATCCTGGAGTTGGGCAAGGCCTAATCACAAGAACTATCTCAGAAAACCCATGCTTGTTACTACATATTACTTACTTAATGCTCCTCTGAGTCACATTCGGTTGCAGTGATGACACTGCAAAGTTTGACCCAGATCTTTGGTTCAAAGTTGGCCTCGTGGTACAAAGTGGACTTAAATGACTAGTAAAGGATTCATCGGATGTGCTCCCTGCTCTTTACTTGATATGTATTTTAGGCTAGCCTAAGGACCTGACTGAGTTTTGGCTAAACATTCTTGGCCAGAATAGGCTGCAATTCAGCAATCATGGGCAGGAAGGGTTGGTCCCTAAGAATTGTTCTTATTTACTGGAGGTCTCTCACTTCCTTGTATCAGAAGTTCTGCATTTCACATGTCATTTTGATCTATACCTCTCTAGATAATCCTCACCAGAGAGGTGAGCGACTTGCATGTCTGTGGGAGATGGATCATGCTCTCATGCTGGATATATCCAGTTTTTATGATAAGGCAGTGACTATGTTAAAAATAGGTGACAGCTACCACATTGTAAAATCCTTGTGTTGATAGTGTAAATTGGAGCTTTACCTTTTTATGCAGCTGATCAATGTGAAACTTATTTTATATGCTAGCTATTGTTTTGTAAAGCCTCTTTCCCCCACTCCTTGATTAGCTGCACAGTGCTATTTGTTTGACCTTACCATCAAGTCTAAATTGAGACAGCAGTTTCTGTCAGGTGACTTCAACTTCCCTATTGATCTCGCTATGCAAAACACCTGATCTAGTTCTTCTGGCTATGCTTCCTGCCCTACAAGAGATGGGTCTCCTGGTGTGTTAGTATTTCTGTCTTTTCATCTTCTTTTATTACCTGTATGTCTCTGCTTTATTTCCTGATTTTTTTTTTCTATTGCTTTCTGTTATGGAAATGAAAAAGTTTTGCTTGAATGTTACAGAATTCCTTACAACTAGCAACATTTTGCTTTTAATGAAATAATATGTAAGAAATAAGTGTATACAATTAAAAAATCCCCCTTGCTCTTTGGCAAAAAAAATAGCTAACATTTTGCCAAAAGGGAACAAATGCTCTTATAAACTCTTAAGAAATATTTATTTTTTTCTCTTTTATATTTACTTTTAAGTTACTCTGTTTTTCCAACTTTTCCAGTGTGAAGAAGTAAATAAGTTTGACTGGAAAAACACTGGATATAGTTTCTCAACAGTAATCTGACAATTAAATATGACAACAGCAATTCATAAATCACAGGTGGAGAAACTGCAGCTGAAATCCATAAAAAAAAAAAAAAAAAAAAAAAAAAAAAAGGATGAAAAAACAATCAGAAGTTTGCCTGTGTACACTTCAGTAGCCTTAGCATTCTGCATTTTAGACTGAATTGCAAAAACTGCTGT